AAATGGATACATTCCGATCTCAGCGCCTTGAAGACTCAGTCTTGTTGGCTCAGTCGCCTGCTGATTATTGCATAATTTTGGACTTCAATTCTAGGGTTTAATTGTCTGATGCCTACATTTTGACATGAAGTTATGTGCACTGGATGCACTCTGCTTAATTCATCGGAATTCGATTATCTGATCCTGTCTCACGCATTTTCCGACACTGAAACTCCCTCTACCAGCAATGGCAGCTTCGCCTGTTAAGTTTCTCTTCGGATTCTTGCTCCTTTCGATCACACTATGGCTGTTTTTCATGTAAGTCCTTCCTGAATTACATTTCTGGCTCACTGATTTCTATCTGATCGCGTGATTCAATCTGGTTTTCTTCATTAGCTCAATGCCACTGCATTGGAGGGGGACTGGTTACTTCAGTTACTAATGTCTGAAGTGAACATATCGGTGTTTGAATGGCATTTTTTTCCTTTTGGGTGGAGAACGTTTAGGAACCGAGAAATTGATGAGATTTTCAAACAAATTAATTATACTCCTATGACTTTTTTCCTGGTTTGGGAAGGGTGGGGGGGTGTCATTGAGGTTGTTACTTATCATCGGTAGAAGATATGTCGTTTTTAATTTAACAAATGGTGGGCTCCTGAACTTTGCATTACAAAGTGAATTTGTATAAAAGGAAGACTTATAGGCTGGGTAATTGTGCAGCATTACTGGAAAACATCGTACATATGCTGCTGTGTAGTGAATTAAATTTACTATAATACACATTTACATTTAGGAGAGCATAAATTAGAAGTAATTGTGGGCTCATCAAGAAATGACGTGATCTATTATTGACACCAGTTCACTGCATTGAGCGATTTGTAGAATACTCTTTTGGTACATGTGTTAGTGGAAGATAGCTAGATTCATAAACCCAAGGAAAAAGGTTTTGTCTTTCGTTTATAGTCATTTATCTTTATCTAGTTTCACAATTCTGTTACTGAATTCTTTTGTTTTTCTCACCAAACTTTTATGGTTGCATTCCAATTGATACATTTACTTCCCGATGATTGTGTCAATATTGATTGTCTCAACAGGGGTTCTAAGGATTCTGATTCGTCATAGCTATCAAACTTCTATTAATGTTTTTCAGGTTTGCTTCTAGATTGGTGGCTTGGATTTTGAGCAGGGTTGTTGGAGCATCAGTAGCATTTCGTGTGGGAGGGTGGAAATGTTTAAGGGATGTTGTGATCAAGTTCCGGAAGGTTCCATATCTATTTGGAAAGTTGTTAATTTTTATTTCATATTTAATTGTGTGATATTATAAAGATTAGGGGTCTTACAAGGGAAAAAAAGGCTCTTGAGTTTTGAAATCTGGGCAAGGGATATTGTCAAAGCCACATTTTCCCTTTTAATTACCAAATAAGTATGGTTATTTTGATCTTATTTGAATTATTTAGTATTGAATCTAGAAGTGGAGTTTGAGAAGCTAAGCTTGCCTTATGGTCTACAAGTGACAACTTGCTATCAATTTGTTTAGTTTAGAGGAATTTACATGTGCCTTTTCCATGCTATTTTATGTACTTTGTGCTTCAGCTACAAGAATGGATAGTATTCTGTTGTATTAGAAGATCATTTCTCGGTTGGAATTGTGAGATTTGTACTGTTATCTGATTATCTTCAGGGTGCTATTGAATCTATATCAGTTGGTGAAATTAAATTGAGCTTGCGCCAGTCCCTGGTCAAACTTGGCGTTGGCTTTATTTCTAGGGATCCAAAGTTACAGATATTGATATGTGACTTAGAAGTTACTATGAGGCCTTCAAATAAAGGTGGGCCAAAGTCTTCCAAACCTCGGAGACCCCGCACCCGCACTTCGGGCAGAGGAAAGTGGATGGTTGTAGCCAATATTGCAAGATATTTGTCAGTTTCAGTGACAGATTTGGTTCTAAAGGTATGCAAAGTTCTCAGTCTGATGTTTGCAATGTTAATTAAGATTTTTTAGGGTGGAACACACGATTCTGAAAGATACTAGTATGTTTGGATCTAGAACTTTGTAGAACTGATTACTGTGCCATTTTGTCTTCTAGTTAGATTTACATGAGTTTTTGGTTAATTTGTTACTCTTATAGTTTTATATTCTTTTTTGTTCGTGGGACTGGATCTTGGAACACTGCAGACTCCCAAAGCTACCATTGAAGTTAAGGATTTCAGCATTGATATATCTAAAAATGGTGGAACAAGTTCAAATTTGTTTGTCAAGTTACAAATATTGCCTATATTTGTGCATTTGGGAGAACCACGAGTTAGTTATGAACAATCATCCAACTTAAGCAGTGGAGGATCTGCTGTCAATTCATCTTTTTCCACAATGGAGAAATCTTCTGCCCCTTTTAGTTGTGAAGAATTCTCTCTGTATAGCGAATTTGGTCATGACAGGTACTTTCTTTTGATTTTTTCCTTTGTGCTCATTATGCTTTTAAGAACATTTTGGTCTTTATCCGGTTAAATTGTAGTTTAATCATTTCTGAGCATGTGCAAAGTTAAATTTGAACCACTTCTTGATTTGTGCATGTCATCCTTGCGTGGGGACCATGCTAATCTTCTTGGTACCGTTCCAATTTTGTTGGATGTCCCTAAAGGGACGCATGTGCTTGTTAAATTATATGACATTTTCTTATTTTTGTGGTTTTTTTCTATTAGTCTCTTTGATGCCCACTAATATTCTCATTTATCTTGATCTCCAAAGCAGTGTATCTGGTAGAAAGCTTACATTTTATTTTTATTTTTATTTTATTTTTCATGTGACATAGGGAAGCGGGTATAATTGTTAAGAATGTTGATATCACATTTGGAGAGATTAATTTGAACTTGAATGAGGAGCTATTTTCAAAAAGCAAGAAGGGAACGGACACTACCTTTCCCTCTGATAAAACTGTTGAGTCAACTGCTGAATCTCTCCCTACAGTGAAGCCACAGAAGAAGCAAGCACTTGCATCTCTTTCAAAGTATACCTCTATTTTCCCAGAAAAGGTTGTATTCGGATTCGTTGTTATGCATTCCTATCTTATTCAGATAGATAAGTAATTTAGTATTTGAGCTGTTTTCAGTCTTATGAAACTTTTCTAATTATTGAGCTTGCTTTTTAGAATATAACAGTAAAGCAGTCTTCTAGATTTACCTCTTGTGTGGTCATATATAAATTTTAAAATAAACTTATGATTTGATTTTTTATGGTAGGAAATTTTTTCGAGGAATGTATGTTATGAGTCTTCTTAGGAAGCTAACCTTTTTATTATAGGTATGAATGTGAAAGAAAGTGATAGGAAATCCACCCAAAGCCAAAGTGAAAAAGACCTCCAATTGGGCAAAATCGAAGTAGAAGAATTACAAACATCCTTATACAATCTTTTGGTATATATGTCATTCTTTAGTTAGAAGCGATTGTATTTATAGTTAAAATTTACAAAATGAATGATGACTAGAAACCCCCTCCTACCAAGAGGCTAAGAAGATTACAAAAATACCCTCCAACTAAGAAATGATGCTGTTTTTATCTCTTTAGATCTCCCAAAAGATAACGAGGTCCACATTCCACCAAATGAGGTAAAGGCTTCTTGGACAACCACAAGCTAGTTGGGGGATAGTAGAACACTTTGATATAGTGGTCTAGAACTTTTGATGTAGAAGATACTTGTAGTGATTAGGAGTTACATTTCTGGCAAAAAATGTATATTTTCTTTTCTAAATGATTATTTGCGGCTGTTAGATATCCTTATAAATAGTTTAAATTTACTCTAACGCTTAAACTTTTGAGTTTATTGGTGGTTTAATAGATTTAAGATGGTATCAAATTAGGGGAGGTCCTTTGTTTAAATTCCTGTAATGTCATTTGCTCCCTGTTTAATATTGATTTTCAACTTTATTGGACCTTGTTCAAATTTCCAAGCCCACAAGTGAAGGAGGGTGTTAGATATATGGTTAAATTTACCCTAACTTATCCGCAATCAGCCAAGAGAAAGGGCAACCATCCCCTTCGAAATCCATCGGCTGCTGCAGAAAAGCTTTTCATATCGCTAAACTGATAGGAATCAATAAACTACCTAAAAGCCTCGACTCTTCACCTTCACCTGCCTAAAAATGCCCTGAATTTTAACCTTCAAAAATCTTAAACGGTGACCTTTCGACCTCTCAGATTCTAAAACTTCTTGGGCTTCGATAGTCACTTTTTATTGGTTCAAGAGTAATCCCCATTTCTTCAAAATAAGGAGGGATGAAAGTATGCTTTGAAGGTTCTAACTTTTCAAATTCCTTTTGCTCATTAAAAAGAAACTGAAAATCCTTCTCAAAAGATTGCTCACAGGGTCTTCAATAGGAAGATCTGAGGACAAAGGGGAGGAATCCTCACTACTAATACTAACCGAACCATCTTTAAAATCATCATCATCGACTAGGAGTTGGGGGATCAAGTTTTGTCGAACCTTACCATTGTTTGTTAAGTGGATTGATCCAAAAGAGAGAGACTTTTGCGCACTACTTATTTTCCATTTTTATTTGAAATCTTTAGATGGTTTTCCAAAGACAAATCTCTTTTCTCCATAAAAGATGCACTTAAATTGACACAATTTACTCCCAACTTAACTAATTAATCAATGCCAGCTGCCCGCGTTGAGGACAGTTTCTTTTGGAGTGGAAAAGGGGGAAAGGAGGTATGTAATTTCTTGGAGGCAAATCGTCCGGATTGAAGGTAGGGCAAAGGTCAACTAGACCAATTTTTTCTACTGCACAGCTGTCTTTATTAAATAAGTCCAAAAGGATTTCCAAAACTCCATTTGCAGGTTGTGATTCCAACACAGCCTCATTAGTACAGCACAATTCTTTACTATCAGTAGGTGAGCTTAACCGCCCTTCTGGATTCAAATCCAAATTTGAGGCAACTGAAATGTTTTTTTTGTGTAGTCAAACCATCCAAATTCTCACCCAATACCTCTAGAGAATTAAATTTTCCTTGCCCCCATCCAAATCCCCTTAAAAAGGGCACTTTGCCTAAGAGAGGCTTTTCATCTACCATAACTTCCTGCTATCTTTGAACATCCATCAAATTTGAAGAAGCTTGAATCAAAGAGAACTTTGAAAGCTGCTAGAAGGAATGAAATGGCGAGTTGACAACTTAATTTGTGCGTACCACTTCAACTACACAAAAAATCTAGGCCGGAGTAAGTCACAAGAATTCTTCTCCATTTGAATGAGTGCTGCTGTGCAATCAATCAAATTTAGGATTTTTGAAGAAACATTATTTAGGCCTCCAGGATGAGTACCAATGGCCTTGAAAAAATGCATATTCCCTAGCTTTAGAGGTAAGTCATAAATTTTCACCCACCCTTCTGAGCAAACCATCAATTCGTTTCTACCATGTTCTTTAAAGCTTCATTTTTCTAGCTTCACGTGGAAATCTCCCAACTTTAGCCATTTGCCACTGAGCCATTATGGGTTCAACAGTCTTCCTTTTTCCAATCTAAGTAAGACCTTATCTGCCAAGAAGGAATTGACTTGACATTTTTCGAGAACACGTCTTTAAAGGTTGTAACGATATCCTTCCAACTACCATGAGCACAAAATCTTGAGATAACCATGGCTTCATCCTAATCCAAATCTACTACATCCGAATCTTTCTTAACCCAATAATGCTCTGAGAGCTTCTTAGTGGGAGAGTTTTTCTTGACGTAATTTGACGATCTTTTTTCAAAGCTATTCATATTAGAGTCATAATCATTAACATTATTGACCAAGAAATCACTTATCACTTATCATGTCCTAGAAAGCTATCAAACCGTTTTTGTTGAACCTAGCAGGCACGGTAATAAACTTTCTTCTACTCGAAGAGGGCCAAACCACAAATTCCAGAAACCAACCAAGTATGTGACACTCCTGAACTTGTCCCTCACTTGTTGAAGAACCTCGACTAAAGAGGAAGATGCAGACAATCCATTAAAGCACACTCAAAAAGTCAAAACCAATTGAGTTGGGACACATGAAGAGGAAGATGAACATTCTTAGAATCTTTAATAACACAACGGACACTTTCACACCAAACCCAATAAAACTTATTTACAACACGGCAACTTTTCAAATCCATGCTTTCGTAAACCTTAAAACTTAAATCCAACCTTAAAACTAACTTGAAGAGATAGTACTAATCGAAAAAGAAGACGAACTCTGATCAAAAGATTACCTTGAAGAACCATTGATGAAGGGGAAGGAAAAACCTAGGTGAGGAGAGAGCGTTGAACACTCCTCAGGTCTACTTGTAAAGTTATTTGCTCTCTCTTTGCTTTTTGCAATGAGTGTGGATAAATAATGTCTATGCCTGTGCTTGGTTCTTTATCTATTTATTTTCTAGTTTAATGCTTGGATATTTATTTACATTTAGCACATAGTTCACATCATTTAAAATATTTAGTGATAATGTCTTAGCTTTATTTCATTTCATTTCTGTAACTATTCTTCTGGTTGCTTTTATCACAGCAAAGTGATGAAGTGAAATTTATAAAATTGTGTTTCTTTGATAGGTTTCCTTCAGTCTGCCCAAACTGAATGTTAAGTTTGTGCACCGTGAACACGAGCTTGTTGTTGAAAACAACATCATGGGCATTCAATTTAAGATAATCAAATCACGTTGCTCTGAGGATTTAGGAGAGAGTGCGCGTTTTGATCTTCAAATGGAGTTCAGTGAGATTCATGTATTGTTTAAACTTTTGGTGTTCTGGAAACTTGCAGTTGTTAAATATTTAGTATTTTTCATATATCTTGCTCCTTTTTGGTGACAAATTTTGCTTCAAATCTCAGCTACTTAGAGAGGCTGGCACTTCCGTTCTGGAGATTCTAAAAGTTGATGTGGTTACCTTTGTTTATGTTCCGACACAAGTGAGTATCCTCACTTACAAATTTAATTTTAGCTTCTCCATGTTCATAATCACAATTTATTGCTTTTAAATGTTCCAAAACTGTTCTATTTTTCTTTTCCACAATAAATATAACTATTTTATGAAAAAATATGTGAAGATACAAGGTAAAAATGAGAACAAGGAGACATCTCCCAACCTTTTGTAATTAAAATAATGTGAAGGTACGAAGTAAAGAAGGAGTGAAGATAAGATATCTACCATTAGCCAAGGAGATTACAAGAGGTGCTCTCCAATTGATATAAAGTAAAGAAAGAGAGTAGTTGCACGACTCCTACAAATGAAGGCTCCAACTAGCCATGTAAATGTTGGGGGGCAAAGCTCCGACTCCTAGTTATCAAGGAAAAAAAAAATGGCCGCCATGTGAAAGGAGATACTATGACCAGATCATCTATTGTAGAAAGTAGATCTAAGAGAATATAGTTTTCACCAACTTTATTTAGCCCATATCTGATAAGTAGTCCATGTGCTCATAAAAAACAAAATGGGTCAACCCAATGCTTATAATAATTATATATATTGATAAGAAACGAGAGACTTGTTAGCCAAACAAAGGAAGACTTAGGAACAAGATGTTCCTATGCCAAGGGGACATCAAACAAAAGGCTTCCAGTTAATATGTTCATATAAGACACTATTTTAATCAATGTGTTCATCTTATATCGATGTTATACTTCTTTTAGAAGATGACTTATCAATTCAACAGGTTCTTTGGAGATATAGTTCCTTTTGATTTATATTAACAATTAAATGTGGTCTCGCTATGCTGCAGTTGTCTGTCCTTTGCTATTCAGCTCTTAATATGTAGTAACCAAATAGCCTAAATTATTTATTGGTGACACCCATCATTAAGAGTCATTTTGGTTGAACTTTCTCTTTTCTTCCATGTGATGCTTTTATTTCTCAGTCAGCATCACCTATTAGGGCTGAAGTGGACTTAAAGTTGGGAGGTACTCAGTGCAACATAATAATGAATAGACTGAAACCATGGCTGCGCCTTCATTCCTCCAAAAACAAAAAGATGGTTCTACGGAAGGAAACATCTTCTGAAAAGCCACAATCTTCTGAGCCCAAGGCAACAATAATGTGGACATTTACGATGTCAGCCCCTGAAATGACTATTGTGCTTTACAGTATAAGTGGCTCTCCGCTGTATCATGTAAGTAATGTACTTTTATCTATTATCTTCCTTCTATATTGGAAATACCAGGGAGTCTATTCTGGGCCTTAGAACTTAGTAATTCACTAATTCTATTCAGATCAAAGGTTGAGGTATTTTTCAAATATACTGGTTCATTGCTTGATTTGCACACAATTTGCTACTTCCATAGATGAAAGTATATTTCAGCGGATTACATGGATTCTCTCTCAAGTCTCTATCACTTTTTGGTATTTTGGTTCCTTTTCTGCTTAGCTTATATTATTTAATCTATCACTAGTTAAGTAATTGAGCATATGATATCTTCATTTATTCATGTATCCGCAGGGCTGTTCACAATCTTCACATTTGTTTGCAAATAATATATCAAACATTGGAACTACAGTACACATGGAGCTTGGTGAATTAAATTTGCACCTGGCTGATGAATACCAAGAATGCTTGAAGGAGAGCCTTTTTGCTGTGGAATCAAATTCAGGTTCTTTGATACACATAGCTAAGATAAGTTTGGATTGGGGAAAAAAGGACGTTGAACAATCTGAAGAAGAGGGTCAAAGAAGCAAACTGGTTTTGTCTGTTGATGTGACTGGTATGGGTGTCTATTTTACATTCAAGCGCATTGAGTCACTTGTCTCAACTGCTATGATTTTTAAATCACTTCTAAAACAACTCTCGGGTTCCCGGAAAAAACCTACGCAGAGTCGAGGGGATCGTTCAACTAAATCATCTGGGAAAGGGACCAAACTTCTGAAACTTAATCTTGAACGATGTTCCATAACCTTTTGTGGGGATATGGGTTTGGAGAACACAACTGTTGCAGACCCTAAACGTGTCAATTATGGATCACAAGGTGGTCAAGTTATTATAAGCGTCAATGCTGATGGCACACCTCGTTGTGCAAGTGTAATGTCTGCTGTGTATGATGAATGCAAAAGCTTGAATTATTCCATAGCTCTTGATATTTTTCATCTCAGCTTATGTGTGAACAAGGAGAAACAGTCCACACAGGTTGAAGTTGAGAGAGCTAGGTCAATATATCAAGAACATTTGGAGGGACAAGGTGAAGATACAAAACTGACATTTTTTGACATGCAAAATGCTAAGTTTGTAAGACGTTCTGGGGGTCAGAAAGAGATCTCTGTATGCTCTCTTTTTAGTGCTACTGATATTTCAGTTAGGTGGGAGCCAGATGTACATCTATCTCTTCTTGAACTTGGTCTACAGCTGAAATTACTTGTGAATAACAAAAAGGAGCAGGTAGATAATAACATATTTGCCGAAGATCCTTCAAACTCAAAAGATTCTGAACAAACGACAGAAACCATCTCTGAATCAGGGCAGCCTGATAAATACAAGAAAAGGGAATCAATATTTGCTGTTGATGTGGAAATGTTGAGAGTTTTTGCTGTGGCTGGAGATGGAGTTGATACAGTTGTTCAGGTTCAGTCAATTTTTTCTGAAAATGCACGTATAGGAGTACTTCTAGAAGGACTTTTTCTTAGTTTCAATGGTTCAAGAGTATTGAAAAGTAGCCGAATGCAGATTTCACGCATTCCTCGTGCGTCTACTGGTGCGTGTGATATGAAGGTGCCTGTTACCACTTGGGACTGGGTTATTCAAGGTCTGGACATACATATTTGCTTGCCATTCCGGTTACAATTACGTGCAATTGATGATTCTGTTGAGGATATGCTGCGTGCTCTAAAGCTTGTTACTGCTGCTAAAACATCTCTGATTTTTCCAATGAAGAAAGAAAGCTCAAAAGCTAAAAAGGCTAGTTCAAGCAAAGTTGGGGGTTTAAAGTTCTGCATACGCAAGTTAACTGCTGATATTGAGGAGGAACCATTGCAGGGATGGCTTGATGAACACTATCAACTAATGAGAAAAGAAGCTTCTGAATTAGCTGTTAGGTTAACATTTCTAGACGATTTTATTTCTAAAGCGAACAATGTTACGAAAACTGCTGAAACAAGTGAATCTACTCAAGAAAGAAAGGCATACTACAATGGCGCTGAAGTTGATGTACAAAATCCAACAGATGTGCTCAGAATGCGAGATGAGATATATAGACAGTCATTTCAATCTTATTATCGGGCATGTCAAAATTTACGGCTATCAGAAGGTTCAGGTGCATGTAGTGAAGGGTTCCAGTCTGGTTTTAAACCTAGCACTGCCAGAACTTCTCTTATGTCGATTTCTGCTACAGATTTAGATGTTACCTTGACAAAAATTGATGGTGGAGATACAGGAATGATAGACGTTCTAAAGAGGCTTGATCCTGTATGTGTTCAAGATAACATACCATTCTCACGCCTATATGGGAGAAATATACTCTTGAATGCAGGCTCTCTTGCGGTTCTGCTGAGAAATTACACATTTCCTCTATTTTCTGCAACTTCTGGTAAATGTGAAGGTTGTCTCGTGATGGCACAACAGGTAATTTATCCACTGCCTTAATTTTACCCATATAAGCTTTTATGACCTGCTTACCATTATTATGATTTCTTTATTCCCTTTTTGGTGTGCACTTTTTTTTCTAATGAGGGTGGAAGGTGAGAGACAGTATGTTGCTATTTTTCTTGATCACAGACGTGCGAGAGTTTGAGAGTTTGACAAGTCTAGATCCTTAAATTCTGAATTCCCCCTCTTGGTTGTAACTGAAGGTCATATTATTCTCCCATCCTTGCATTGTAGTATTTGAAAAATGTGAGTTTATTGTGGAGCAGGCTAAATACACCCATGCTAGGTCTTCTGACATTTCACCTTCGTCCCAGCTGCTTTTGCTTGTACACAGACTAGCAATAGAGTCTTCTTGGATATACGCTTTTGAGATCCCCCTTCTTTTTTATTCTCCAAAAAGATTTCTAAGGGTCTTTCAAGGAATTATAATCTTAGATCAAGGGTATCTCAAAATTTTTAGAGTATAATCTTAAATCAATCCATAGGGGTAGTTAAAAAAAAATCAATCCATAGGGCGACACTTATAGAAAACAGTTAAATTGTCCATGGTCATGAACAATTGGAAAGTGTTTGTTTAGCTCTCTTTTGGGTGGGGTTCTCTTTACCCTAACCCTTAGGTTGTTACCTTTGTTTTTTGTGGAATACATCAAAGTTTCTTATCTAAAAATAAAAAATAAAAAAAAACACAGTCAAATCCCTCAAGCTAAATGGCTTTAGATGTATCTCATGGGAAGTTCGGCTTGAGAGGAATAGAAGAGTTCCTCAAGGGTGGATAGGAATTGTAGCTCTCTCTTGATCTTATTGTAAATTTCCTCTGCTTGGTGCTTTCCTGATTGACTTTTTGTATTTTCACTATGACCTTTCTTGTTTAAATCTTATCTTGGTAAACTTTTATGCTTATTCTATTTTGGTCCTTAAACTTTCAAACATTAATAGAAGATCAATTTTGTTCTTACTGTCAATTTTGATAAATTGTTTAACAGAAACTCGATTTTACCAGCATTTGGAGCAGGTACATTTATTCTTCTTTTCAGATATTTCCCATGAACGACTTGTGGGCTGTCTTTTGCAAAATAAATATTGTATTATAGTCAAAAGGGTCATCTTGTCCTTTTGTCCTTTAGATTGTTTTGTTTTGGTTTTTGGCATCTTCTAATGCAGCTTGTTTTGTCTCTTATTGATACAAATAGTTTAGCTTAAACCTTGCTCTCTTCTCGGAGGACCTTCCCCTTTGAATAGTTGGTACATATTGAAACCTTTTTTCTTCATAGTTATTCCAGTTATGGGCAAAATTTTTCTGATTATAGGAACATGTTCTTCCAGACTTCTTATGTTAGCATGATTACTGGACCCCGAAAATTTCTGCCGTATGTTTGTCTTCTGCTTATCTTTTACAGTCACATGACCTTGTAATATTCTATGTTTAGCAGTTACATGCTGACTTGCATGTAAGATTAATGAATTTGTGTAATGTGATTGTGACTATATTTTCTCTTTTCAAATAGGCCACGTGTTTTCAACCTCAAATATTCCAAGATGTGTATGTTGGGAGATGGAGAAAGGTACAGATGCTCCGCTCTGCAAGTGGTACAACTCCTGCTATGAAAACATATTCGGACTTGCCCATTCATTTTCAAAAGGCCGAGCTATCTTTTGGAGTGGGATATGAACCAGTGTTTGCTGATATCAGTTATGCTTTCACTGTGGCATTACGTAGGGCTAATCTTAGTGTCATGAATCCTGGTCCACTGATTCTGCCTCCAAAAAAAGAGAAGAGTCTACCATGGTGGGATGATATGAGGTACTACATTCATGGAAATATCACTTTGTCCTTTTCCGAGACACGGTGGAATATTCTTGCAACTACTGATCCTTATGAAAAGCTTGATACACTTAAAGTATTGTCTGGTGAATTGGAGATCCAGCAGTCAGATGGTCGCGTCTTTCTTTCTGCCAAGGATTTTAAGATTTTAACCAGCAGTCTGGAGAGTATGGCTAATAGTCGTGGTCAAAAACTTCCTGATGGCATATCTGGTACATTACTTGAAACACCACTTTTCACCCTTGAAGTAATCATGGAATGGGAATGTGATTCTGGAACTCCATTGAACCATTATCTACATGCGCTTCCCATTGAAGGAAAACTTCGCGAATTTGTTTATGATCCATTCAGATCCACATCTCTGTCACTCCAGTGGAATTTCTCTCTTAGGCCCCCTCTTACGTGTGAGAAACAATTGTCTGATAAAAATGAGTGTTCAACAAGATTGAGTTTTGGGGCTCACGATCTTGCTTGGATCGTTAAGTTCTGGAACTTGAATTACTTACCTCCTCACAAACTCCGTACCTTCTCTAGATGGGCCCGTTTTGGTGTTCCTAGGATTGTAAGATCTGGTAATTTGCCCATGGACAAAGTAATGACTGAGTTTATGTTAAGAATTGAGACTAGCAGTCCTGAGATAAGACATGTGCCATTAGATGACGATGATCCAGCAAAAGGACTGACTTTTAGTATGTCAAAGCTGAAATATGAGATTGGTTTCAGTCGAGGCAAGCAGAAATATACATTTGAATGCAAGCGGGATACCCTTGATCTTGTCTACCAAGGAGTTGATCTTCATATGCTGAAGGTTTTCATAAATAAAGAAAATAGCAGCAGTGTTGCAAAAGTAGTTCAAATGACCAGGAAAAATTCGCAATCTGCTTCCATGGATAAAGTCCCAGTGGAGAAAGGCAATAATAAGGGCAGCTTAACTGAAAAACATCGTGACGATGGATTTCTATTGTCGTCTGATTATTTCACAGTTAGGCGGCAGACTCCAAAGGCTGACCCTGCTCGGTTATTAGCCTGGAAAGAGGCTGGAAGAAGAAACCTTGAGATGACATATGTGAGGTCTGAGTATGGAAATGGGAGCGAGAGTGATGAGCATGCACGATCTGATCCAAGTGATGATGATGGATACAATGTGGTCGTAGCTGATAATTGCCAACGTATTTTTGTTTATGGACTCAAACTTTTATGGACACTTGAGAACAGAGATGCTGTTTGGTCTTTTGTTGGTGGCTTATCCAAGGCATTTGCACCTTCAAAGCCTTCCCCTTCACGACAATATGCACAGAGGAAACTACTTGAGGAGAACCAGCCACATGATAGAGCTCAAGTATGTGAAGATGGCGAGGTCTCTAAGCCCCCTGACAATGATGGTATAATTGCTTCTACATCACAGTCAGAGGCTTTGGAACTACAACCAGCTACGTCACATGGCATTCAAACAGACAACTTATCATCTGCAGATAAGGGGGAGAACTTACCATCTGCCGATAAGGGGGAGAACTTACCATCTGCAGATAATGGGGATAACTTACCATCTGCAGATAAGGGGGATAACTTACCATCTGCAGATAAGGGGGATAACTTATCATCTGCAGATAAGAGGGAGAACTTATCATCTGCAGATAAAGGGGAGAACTTGTCATCTGCACCTGGTACATCTTGAGCATTTATCAATTGCTTTTTCCAAGACTTCATTTAGGGAGCAATTTCATTTATGGCAAAACTAATGGCATTATAGTATCTACCTGTGATTATGAATCTTGCTATGATTGAAAAACTTGATTATGTTACTGGTTGAAAAAAAAATTTGTGGGCTAAGAGGCAACTGTTTTCTTTTTCTTTATTTTCCAGCAAGAAATGGAAATGTAGATGACAACTCAGGGGAAGGGACTCGACACTTCATGGTGAATGTAGTGGCGCCTCAATTCAATCTTCATTCAGAAGAAGCTAATGTAAGATATATGAGTATCTTCAGACTCCCTAACTTTATTGCAGAGGATTTTATTCAAAATGCTTCCTAGATCTTTGATTTTCCTGTCTGCTTTGCGAGTAATGGTTGAATCATGCAGCTATTTTTTTTAACTATAAAACCATGCTTTCATAAAGCAAATGAAAGGTTATATAAGAACAGACAAAAAACCAGCAGCTAATGTCACCCTAAATAAGATTGCTTGTTCTCCTCTTTATTTTTCCAGTGAGTTTCCAGTGATTAATGATTTCCTTTGGGTAATTCTTGATCAAAATTGTTTCATTATTTTTCTTATGCACGCGTTGCACTAGTACAAAATTATGGATATTACACAGCAGGAAGATATGTACTATCACAATTTTTTACAATTTTTATAGCCGAGCAATGCATCTGAAGATTTATGAATCAATTTGTAAAAATTCTATGGAGGAAATTTTAAATTATTAATTGTTAGTTGGAGGAAAGTATTAAAAGTGAGGAACAAAATGGACAATAGAGCATGTGAGCATGTATTGATTTGCAGTATGATAATTATGGAATTTCTGATTTGCTTCAATTTATATATTTGTTTTAGGAAACATTGTAATAGAAAAGATATGAATATGTGACCATTGAAGGGAGAACTAGGTGCAGTTTTCCTGAAGATTGTTGATTGGAAAATGAAAATTTTTAAAATTATAAATCCCAGACTGCTATAGTGGCATGAACAAAAGCAACGGCAAAGGTTTAATCTAGGTGAATGGCCGTTTTCTCTAATTCTAGTCTTGTGAAGCTTTGCTGGGCCTTTTGCTTGGTTGTCTATGGAATTAATTAAGTTTCTCCACTTCAACTGCCCATATAAATTTTTGCTTCTCAGGACTTGAGCATCTTTGATTACCATTTTGACATGCTTCTTCTTACCTTATAAAGTACCTTATATTTACAAGCTAAATCGTAGATGGAAAAATGCATTCTAGCTTCGCAGTGCTGTACAATTAGAATTCATTGCATGTATTGGCATTCCCCTCTTTTATATTTCGCTGTGCTCCTTTACCGTCTTATTCATTCTATTATCAGAATGACAAATTTTTGAGTCTTAGCTTTTTCTTCAAAATTTTTGAGTCTTAGCTTTTTCTTCAACCGCTTTACTCTGACTGTTTTTTATATTAAGCAGTCAATCGTTTTGTTGTAATCTTTCTGAAAGAGAACTAAATTTTCAATCCTTTTATCCCTTGAATTTTGCGTAAATAGTTGAACGATGTGGAAAATAACAAACTTTTCTTGCAACTCTCACTCGTTTCATCAGGGCCAAATTTCAGGTTTTATTTGGATTTGTTACCCCCTCATTAATTTTAATTTACTTTTTGCCGAGGATAACGACCAATTACGCTCTTCTGAAAAAATGGATACCTTTCTTTCTCCTTCTCGGGAGCAGCCTTTGGTAGTCGAAAAAGCTTCTTCAAGTTTTTTTAAAAAAATATTTTGAAGATGTAGGTCTTACCTTAGTTCCAATCACTGAATAGGTAGAATTTAATTATGGACAACAGGTTTTTGGTTGGTTTTGCTTTGCAGCAGTTTTGAGAGTTGAGATATTATAGGTTTCTTCTCTTCTCTTGGTGGAGGGAGGTTTCAGATTCTTTACTTCTTCATTCTAGCGATCAGTTTTTGTTAAGTGATTGTTTGAGGAGGAAACAATTTCCTCCTCAGCAGCCAGTCCTTTTGAATTGGCAAGTTTTATCGATGAAAGTTTTTCAGCACGTGTTCTTGGACTTCAGATCTCATCTATTTCATGGGTTTTGGGTTTCTATGTTTTGGTTGTTTTTCTTATTCTTTTTTCGCTTCTTTAGGGACCTTGTATCCTTGAACTTTTTTCTTCCTTTTCATATTATCAATGAAAAGTTTGTTTCTTGTTTTTTAAAAAATATATATATTATCAGTGTGTTATTTTGTTGCTTTCCCTTACATGCAAAGATTTTCCAGTAATGATTCAGATTGTTACTGTTACTGAAACAGGGTAGGTTTCTGCTTGCTGCTGCTAGTGGTCGTGTTTTAGCACGATCATTCCATTCAGTCCTCCAAGTTGGGTATGATATGATCGAGCAAGCTCTTGGCACTGGAAATGTGCAAATTCCAGAGTGTCAACCTGAAATGACATGGAATCGGATGGAGTTCTCAGTGATGTTGGAGCATGTTCAGGCTCATGTTGCACCAACTGATGTTGATCCAGGGGCTGGATTGCAGTGGCTACCAAAAATTCTAAAGAACTCACCTAAAGTAAAGCGAACCGGAGCTTTGCTTGAAAGAGTGTTTATGCCCTGTGACATGTACTTCCGATACACAAGGCACAAGGGTGGAACTCCAGAGTTGAAGGTTTGTTGTTTATATTGTATTACTTTAGTTATCCTTCCGATAGCATCTCCATGCATAATGAGAAAGGATATAGGTTTTTTTTCTAATTTTTAATTTGAAGTAGAAAGGCTATAGTTTTTACGTTTAGAAGAGCATTCTTTTCTGTAGGTGCATCTATATCATGGATTCATGCACTGCATAGATTTGCTAGACTTGCATCTAAGTTTTGTCGATATAATTTTTTTTTTAAATTTAGTGGAGACACAACTTTTTATTGGTATTTGAGAAGTTACGAGTTAAAGATAAAATCTACGATAAAAAATTGAAACAAACTTCCCTGCCCTTTAGTTAAAACAAAGTCAAAGGCAAAAATATATTAAAAAAAACTTACAAAAAAGTCTCTCTACTAGAATTAATTATATTAAAAGAGTAATTAGAAAATAATCTTGAATGTGAGCACCGAAACTTGACTTTTAGCAAAATCTCATATTCCAAACTAATGAAGTGATATTCCTCTGAAAATTATTTGAATTTTTTGTCAATATTACCATTCAATCCGCAACCAAATTTATAAATTAAAAAAAATCTTTTTTTTAAACAACATTAAAAAAGGAAAAAAAGACAGATTTAAAAACTTGAAGCATGACACCGGATGTTATACGACTACAAATCTCTGGTTAAATCACCCCCAGAATCTAAAATTATTAGGTTTGGGTAAATTTAATCTTTCTAATCTATTCCTAGTAGTCCTCTTCACCGGTGAGATCAGAAATTAATTTGATCTTTTATAATTTTATTAATAGTATGTCAAGCCACTACTTAACTTGATTGAACATATACTTGTGTAATTAAGAAGCACTTATTAGGACTACTGATGAGACTAGTTGATGCCGTTGGTAAAGATCCTGAATGCTATTGAAGCTAAAAGGTCATTACACAGCCAATGGTTCAATTAATTCCAGCCTCTGCATGGGATATTCTAGCTTGTTATTGAGCTGATGAGATGAATAGGAAAATCAGTTGCCACTTTCCAGCATCTGCTTACACCATTGGGTATTTCAGCACCTTTTGTATATAAGAGACACTTTGATACATATGGTTTTTACAAAAAGAGAAGTCAAGTATCATACGAATTACAGAGTAACTTTAAAAAGGATTAGATCTTAGGCATCAAGATGAAGAAAAAAAGGACCACTTCTTCCTTTTCCTGGACCTGTGGCCACAAAAACCTTGCAGAAAAGGGGGAAAAAACTGTACGGAAAAATATTGAGGAGTCCATAAGGACACTACCACTTGTCAAAACGAAAACAAATGATCTGCAGTCTCTTCACTCTGCTTTATGAAGATAAAAGACCAATTTGGATGCAGGTAGCTTCCAGGATTTCTCCTCTAAAAGTTATCCTTAGTTTTTAAGCCACCTTAGAGTAGGGACCAAATAAATACCTAGCATTTTTTAGGACTGTGGATATCTAGAGCACCTTACTGAAAGCCTATAAAATGGGAGAATCACCTTGCGAGAGAGCTGAAAAGAGACCTCACGGAAAACAAGCCACGATGGTTGAAAATGGAACATTTTGGATTTGAAAGGCTTTGAATAAGATGGGTAGCTATTCTGAGATTTCGTGGATTTCAAACAAAATGAAGGAAAGGAAAATCATCCGTTCTAGTTAGGGGGTTGGAGGCTGGTTGGAATGCTTTCAGAAAGAAGATTGATATGCTGAGATTCAAAAGGCTTTGAATAATATGGGTGGCTATGCTGGGATTTTGTGGATTTAAATAAGAATGTAGTAAATCAAATTCATTTGTTCTAGTTGGGTAATGGTAGGCTAATTGGATTGCTTTCAGAAAGAAGATTGATAACTTCCTGCCGAGTGATAGGGGGTATAAAGTAATCAAAATGGGACTTGTTCTATCCATTCTTTTATTTTATAACAAGAAACAACTTTTCATGGATAATATGAAATATGAAAAGGAAATGATCAGGAGTTCATTTGTGGAAGTATTAAAAGGCACATGCAGAGAAGAAGAAGCCGCATGGCTCATCTAGTAAGATAATTGAGATGGTTTTTGAAATGCAATAGATCATGGTCACTCAACTTTGTAGGTGAATTTGTTCAAAATTTGGCCATTAGTCAAGGAACTTATAAATGAACTTTCTTCATTTTTTGATAAAAAAGTAAGCTAGCTTGTAACTTATAAGTGAATTTTGTATGTTTAATCCTTTTCAAGTTGACAAAGCCATCTTAAAATGCTCTAATGGTGAGGATGAAAGACTAACCTTTTTTCCATTGAAGGTTGTAATAGAGAGATCCATAGTATAACCAGGGGTTCCATCCCCTGGAGGTTGGATTTAGAACAAATGCTTCCGTCAATCTCTCCTATGAATCTTTAATCCTATGATGTTTTCCCGTGTAAATTCAGAAGTAAAATCAACTAGACCATGCAGAATCAAACTTGGGCCTAGCTTTTAGGAGTTTATTGGAATCTGAACTGGAAGAGTGGATTGATTATCCACTAAACCTTTTTTAAAGGAGGCAAAATATTTCACTGATATTTGAAAAGTTAAAATATGAAATAAGAAAAATTCAAACTATATATATGGAAAGAGATACCGTCAAATAATTAAGTACTCAGCAAATTGTGCTCCCTCTTTACAGAATACTAGGTTAATCATACTCAGAAATGAAACTTACTAAACAACTTACAAAAAGGCCGTCCAACTAGAATTGATTACATTGAAGATTATCCACTGAACTGAATAGAGTGGCCATTAATCAGAATGTAGATTGTTTGGTGTGGATGTTGGACAGCTCAGGGAAAGTTATTCCTTGTAACTTGTAAGTCCGCCTTTTCTACTCTAGATGGCTCCTACTCAAAGTGGATAACTACATTACAAAGCTTATTTGGAAACTGGAGATTCTCAACAAATATGAAATTCTTCATTTGGTCGTTAGCTTATAAAAGCCTGAACACTTGAGATGTGGAGAAATGTGCGAGTGCCTCCAGACTGAACAAGTGAGCTATGTTGAGGAGTCACCTGAGAGGCTGAGACTAAAGATGATAATTGGAGAACCAGAAATGACTCTTGGCAATGAAGGTGAACATACCATGAATTATACATTGTTTCTTCCACAGTTGGACATGGACTCTCAACAACGCCCAAATTTAGGAACAATGTACACTATGAACAACAAAGTATGTGGCGTTATATCAACAGTAAGAGTAATGAAAACACGGACTTGTGTGCTTTGGCTAAGAACTTCTGTCTATTAGTCTAATACGAAACCCTACAATTCTGCCTGGACCAAAAATGGGTCTGATTTCGTAGTTCAAAAGATTGGCCCAAACCACTCTGATTTCGTAATTCTCAACATAGCTCACTTGTTCAGTCTGGAAGCACTCCGAAAGGTAATCATATTCCAACTGGATTTGACAACAAACCCTAGAAGAGAAAATGGGACCATGCAGAATATTTAAAGAGGGAGAAAAAAGAGAGAGAACTAGACACTAATGCAGTAATGCTTATGAAGTGGAATGTTTCATATTGAGTTCCACCATCCTCGTACTTTTTGGTAGTCCTCTTTTTTGAACTTGTGGATGAGTTCTTCCTCATGCGTTGGAGCATTGCTCAATTTGTTACAGTAGTCAGTACTATCCTATTCATACTTTCCGGATATCTTTTTTTTTTTTTACTTTTGATAAGAAACAATTTTTCATTGATAATATGAAATTACAAAAAGGAAAAGATTCCCATCCAAGGAAGTTACAAAAAACTTCGGATATGAGAGAAGAAAAGTTATAGAAGTGAAATAGAGGGAAGCATTTACACTAAGAATGAAGGCTAGCTCTTCATTGTATGGGGGACTGATTTAGCAGATGGCAGTCATTTACTGCTTTTTGTTACTTCTTGATTGATTAGCTGGTTACTGTCAGTTGTTTAGTTAGGCTCTAATCCCTGCTTGTAAATTGGAATATTCTAGCTTGTAATTGGCATGATGAAATTATTGAAGAAATCAGTTGAAACACGGTTGAAGAAAATTTCAACCTTGGTTACACTAATTCAAGTCTCCACCTACATGCTTTAGGCATGGATTTATTCATGATAGAGTAGAATCGGCAAGGAAATACATGTTTAAAGCCGCCAACTGATTATATAAAGAGTATTGCCATGACTATGGTTCCAGATCTTGATACTTTAACAATCCATTGGAGCCTAGGCTTTGATCTAGATGGGTTGTCGAGAGAGTTGTGACCTATGTCGAGAGAGTTGCCATGACTATGGTTCCAGAAAATTTAAATATTTTTCTTATAGAATCTATCAATCAAGAATTATAAGCAGAATAAATTTGCTTAATCTGCATACTAATGTGTTTGAATGATCTTCTTGTAGGTGAAGCCATTAAAAGAGCTCACTTTCACTTCTCATAATATAACAGCGACAATGACATCGCGTCAGTTTCAAGTTATGCTCGATGTGTTGACAAACCTTCTTTTTGCTCGTCTTCCCAAGTATGTAGATGAATTTATGTCTACTGCCATTTGTCTATCTGGAAGCAATATGTCATGATGATATGCTGCTATGTTTTTTAGTTGGAATTACCCATGTTATTGCTCCCAATATGATTATTTTTCTACTTTAATTATTTTATTAGTTTTTATGTTTTTATTCTATTATGCGATAATTATATGAACTGCAAAGTTCTTAAAATAACAACAGTACATGACATATCAAATATATTTTATTTGATTCATTTGCTTGTACATGTATAAGTAGGAGTAAACGTTGGATGCATATAATTTCAGGCCTCGAAAAAGTAGTCTTCCGTTTCCTTCAGAAGATGATGAGGATGTTGAAGAGGAAGCAGATGAGGTTGTCCCTGATGGTGTTGAAGAGGTAGAACTTGCAAAAATCAACCTTGAAAGGAAAGAACGGGAACAAAAGTTAATTGTTAACGATATTAAAAAACTCTCTCTATATTGTGACGTAAACAATGACCTAAATCCAGAAAAAGATGGTGAAATGTGGATGATTTCAGGTGGAAAGAACTTGCTGGTAAGCAACATTTTGGACTTTTCTTGTTATCTCATTTTGTTATTCTGATTGTGGATTACGGTTTTGTCAATTTTAATATAAGTTGTTTCTCTCGTTAGAAATAGTTTTTATTTTCAACTTTTTTCATGACAATGCAACTGCTGCTTGTGAATGTGAATGTCGGTTTGGTTGTGGATTGTTGCCTGTAAATGATTTTTCTTGGCAAATTAAAGCTTATATCACAATTTCCATTGAGTTACAACCTTCATCTGCTTATGAGATATTCCTTCGTGACCATACTCTTTTTATGCCTTATTATTTAGCTTGATAGATATATAATTGAAGTGCTTCTTTCCAGGTGCAAGGATTAAAGAGAGAGCTTGTGAATGCACAAAAATCTAGGAAGACGGCATCTGCATCATTAAGGATGGCTCTCCAGAAAGCTGCTCAGATACGATTGATGGAGAAGGAGAAGAACAAAAGTCCTTCATATGCTATGCGAATTTCTTTGAAAATTGACAAAGTAGTCTGGAGCATGCTTGTCGATGGTAAATCTTTTGCAGAAGCTGAACTAAATGACATGGTGAGAATCTACCCTTCTTTACATGGACATTCTTTTAGCGAGCGTCTATCTCAGAACCCTATTACCAAGAATTCTTGTTAGTTACGACTAGTGTGATCTATTGTATTCTTTCATTTTTCTCAAAACTAATGCTTGTCAGTTTTACTTGTTTCTTTCACATACTATTCATTAGTTTGTTCTAATTCTACAATATGATCGTGATGGTTGGTTATTGTAGTTAATACATTGGTACTTTCTGTTACTACAGTTTTATGATTTTGACCGTGATTACAAAGACATTGGCATTGCTCTGTTTACAACAAAGTATTTTGTTGTACGAAATTGCTTGCCAAATGCCAAGTCTGACATGCTTCTATCTGCATGGAATCCTCCGCCAGAATGGGGAAAGTAAGTTCTTTTTTGGCTCTTTTTTTTTTGTCTGTTGCTCCTGCATCTTGGTGAATGTCTAGGTTACATCCCTCTCTCTGAAGTATCTAGTATTTATTGGATCACATGATTGTCTACTTCCAATAATTAGATGATAATTTCCTTCGAAAAATTCTCATATAATCAATGCTTTTGGATGATTGAAGATTATCATTTTCAAGCCCAGGAATAATGGTGAAGACTGTTGGATTAAACCTGAAGGGTAGGAGTTAATGACCTACTTTGGTTATTTATTTGTCAATGAGTAGTTTAGTGACCTACTTTGGTTATTTATTTGTCAATGAGTAGTTTAGTGACCTACTTTGGTTATTTATTTATCAATGAGTAGTTCAGTGACCAAATTAGGACCAAATTAGGACGAAGGACGCATTAAACTTTTGGACACAGGAAGGTCAGATATCTAGGTCTCTCTCTCTTTTTTTTTCCCTCAAATACGTGCTCTTTGAGTCTTTTTCTTTTTTGATAATTGCTTGGTCATATGTATTACAGATTATCTGTTGATCAAAACACACACAACTTTTTTTAATTATCTTGGGGGTTCTTTTTTAATTGTTGCTTGGTCAGATGCATTACCTTTTTTATACCACTACTTCCTGCAACAGATTACCTTTATGGGTTATTGATTGTCTCTGAACTTAAGGCCGTTCCTCTTGCTACCAGAAAGTCTAAATGCAATAGTGGGATTTTTGGAGTTTGGCTACACTTTTATTTATTAGATTCTCAGAAGTGGCATAATTTTAATTTTTCTTTGGGTAATTTAGATACTAATTGACTCATAATTCTTTAGAAAGTTACAGCATCTACTTTAATGGCTGCAGAAAAGTCATGATTCGAGTGGATGCAAAGCAAGGAGCGCCAAGGGATGGAAATTCACTCCTTGAAATGTTCCAGGTAGTTAAAGTCCCCTTGTTTTCTCCCAACGTTTAAATATAGATACTAGTGTTATTTGGTAGAAAATTGTTACAGCGAGTATTTCTTCTGTAGGAAACATAGTTCGAGAAAAAAGAAAATTTGTTTTAGCCATTAACTGATTAGGAAATGTTTGTTTTAGTGGCAATCTATCCTCAATTTAGATGTTCCATGATGCAACCCAGAAGGAACCTTTGAGCTTGAATCCTTCTACCTTAAACTTGAATAAACAACAAAGAACTAAAGGTTATTTTGGCTTTGAAAACCAGTGATCACATAGGAGTTCGAAACTATGTTCCATTAAGCTCTGTGGAAGATATCATAATGAACTATGGTGTGGATGGATAAAGCCGCAATATTTTTTCTTTTACCTCAAATAGTTGTATATTTTACAGTCTAGTTTTATCTTTTATCTTGAATTCTCCATCGGAGAATGCTTTGGCCACTATGATTTTGTGATCTAATTCTTAGTACATGATTGTTTGCTTAACGTGGCATCCTTTACTCTTACAGGTAGACATTTATCCCCTTAAAATTCACTTGACGGAGACAATGTATCGAATGATGTGGGAGTACCTATTTCCAGAAGAGGAACAAGATTCACAAAGACGGCAGGTGAGTTGAAAGCCTTATTTCTAAAGGGCCAACTCCTCTGTGGAAGGCAACCTTATACTTTAGCTTCCCCGAAGTATAGATTATGAGTGGCTCACGTTCTGCTGCAGGAAGCTTGGAAGATTTCCACAGCTGCAGGATCAAAGCGTGTAAAGAAAGGTTCTTCAGTTCATGAAGTATCCGCATCTAACACTCAGTCAAAAGAGTCTGATATGTTTTCCAAATTAACTTTGTCCCTTGGTGGTCAAGGATCTGCCAACGCAGAATCTGCTCAAGTGAGTTTTTAAGCTTACCTATGGCTCATGGGGCCACTTTTCTTCTCTGATTGTAATTAATAAAGAAGGAAAAGAAAGATTGGGTTATCTTCTTTTCGTTTAGAAAGATTGAATTGCTGGAGTAAAAGATCATTTGTTTCTTCTGTTGAGACGACCAGAAGTGGTAAAGTAGGAGTTGTATTCCTTCTTGGGCTCATGTTCCTTTTATGAAGTGTCTGATTCCTCCGTGCAGGCATCAAAGTCTCAAAACCCAAAATCTAATGCTGGCAGCGGTACAGCCCCCGAGTTAAGGAGAACATCTTCTTTTGATAGGTCATGGGAAGAGACTGTGGCGGAATCTGTTGCTACTGAACTTGTCTTGCAGAGCATTACCAAAAGTGGACCACTGGGTTCTACTGAGCAACAAGATGAAGGTAAGAATAAATCAAAAGATCCCAAAGCTATAAAAGCTGGGCGATCATCCCATGAAGAGAAAAAGGTGGTAAAAGTACAGGATGAGAAGAGATCCAGACCTCGAAAGTTGATGGAGTTCCACAATATCAAGATCAGTCAGGTTAGCTCAGTCTGTAAAGTTTGTCGTTGAATTAATTGTTGAAACAGTAATGTATAGATTCCTTGGTAAATCGCTCCACAAACTTTTGAAACAGGTTGAGTTGTGTGTTACTTACGAAGGATCAAGATTTGTTGTCAATGATCTTAAGTTGTTGATGGATACATTTCATCGTGTTGAGTTCACTGGGACTTGGCGAAGGCTGTTCTCTCGAGTTAAAAAGCATATCATCTGGGGAGTTCTGAAGTCTGTCACAGGAATGCAGGTAAAATTTCAGCTCAAATTCCCTCCATTATAACACTAACATTGCTCCTTTAAATTCACCCTTCTCAAGTTCCTTACCAACATTTCAGTTTTCTTGCGTTACCTTCACCTTCATATTTCTCAGCTTGAAGTCACCAATTCATTGCTTGGTTATGATAAAAACTCATAAAACTAAGCTCATAGTGAGGAAGTACGGTTATGTAGTATATTTTTGCATTCAACTGAGTTGAACTCAAGCTTCTAGATTGTTCTGGTCGGTTATTTTCAATCTAACACACCACTTATGCAGGGTAAGAAGTTCAAAGACAAAGCACATACTCAAAAGGATGCGAGCAATATGGCTGTTCCTGACAGCGACTTTAATTTGAGTGACAATGAAGGGGCTCTGGTAGTGAAATCCGACCAACATCCAATAACGTGGCTTAATAAGCGGCCAACTGATGGAGCAGGTGATGGATTTGTCACTTCCATCAGAGGTCTTTTCAATAATCAGCGTAAGAAGGCCAAAGCCTTTGTGTTGCGCACAATGAGGGGCGAAGAGAATGACTTCCAAGGTGACTGGAGTGACACTGATGCTGAATTCTCACCTTTTGCTCGGCAGCTCACTATAACAAAAGCTAAGAGGCTTATTAGGAGGCATACTAAAAAGTTCCGCGCTCGACAGAAAGGTATATCTACTTCTGAACTGTTTCTTTTTCTTTCTTAAATATATCCATTTTTACTGTCAATAATAATATATACCCATACCCACTTGTATAATGAGAATAGGATCTAAGAAGCATGGATATGGATACGAAATACAATACGAACACAATGCCACATTATTATCTAAAAATTTAGGACAGAGACATGCAAAGACACATTTATTAAAATATACAAAAAAAATTTTAAGTATATATCATTTTTGTGCCTAGTACGTTCAAAGTTGAGCATTTTTATGCTTAAAAAATGAGTTTGATATATTTTGCTCCCAAAATTTATTTTTTTGTCCTATACTATTATTTATATCTATTTCTTATGCTTAAACAATGTTCGAGACATGTCTAACAAGTGTCAAATCCATATTCATTTTGTAGAACTAGTGTGACACATATCTATTGAGTTAACAAGTGTAGAATATATCTTCAATAAGTGTTGGAGTATCCAACACGAATATGTTATCCAAACTGAATTGTCCATGCTTCTTATCTAAGGATCATAGGACTTTTCTTAATGACCTCTGAATATTCCACTCGATAACATAATCACTTCACTTGATCTCTACTGACGCTGACAATATAATGTAATGTAACAGGTTCATCTTCTCAACAGAGGGAGTCCATGCCCTCATCTCCAAGGGAAACCACTCCATATGAAAGTGATTCTTCTAGTGGGTCGTCACCATTTGAAGATTTTAATGAACAGGAACTGCTGCAGCTGCAGCAATTGCAAGGGGGGGATGCACCTTCGGAAACTTGAAGATGGCCTGATAGACTAAAAAGAGCATGAGGATGAGACTGCACATTCATCTACTTTGACCAATCACCATGCGCTACATCTCTCGTTGGAAGCCTACGCGAATGGTCCTTGAAGGATGAAGCAACCCTCTTTTTCTACTTTTTTTTTTGTTTATAGGTTTTGAGTACACGAGCTCATAAATTTATGAGCAACTGGAAATCCAATTTTGTCCGTACATATATTATTTATGGTATATAATAATAATGGTATTTCCCAACCCAATGCCCTGCCTCCGTCTCTGATTTCACATTTACAAACCAAATTTCCCGCCAAATTGAATTTCTTTTTATTTAGGGGTGAAGTGATATTTTATCATTCGATAGGGTAGCCCTGAATGCGTTAGAAATCTTTTTGGAAGAGTTTTTTTACTCGGTATAAAATAAATGTCTAGAGATTTTGGACAAAGTGCTTCTGGGAGATGGCTTCTGTAACCAACCCTATTGCCTATGATTCTTTTTTCTTATACTGTTTGGCCTAAAATTATCACTAGTTTTCTCTTCAACCTTTCATCGTCTTTCCAAGAAGGTAAGAATTGAGCCATCCGATTATGACTTAATAGATAAAGTATCGATACTTAACCATTCACTCCTACTCAAACTAAATAAATAAATAAACAATACTCTATCTATCTCATGTATCTTTTAAGTGAGAATTTATTAGATGAACTCCCATATTAAAAGAAATCTATTGCATGAGAGTTCTATAGTAATTGAATTCGAGAAGGTCTGTCCCTGAAGAAAATTATATTAAACCCCCAAAAGATCTACAATTAGAAGAGTTGGGATGATGAAAACAACTCTATGTGAAAAGAATAATGAGATGTCATTATCCACTGTTGAGCCTCATGGAAAAGCAAAAATAAAAAGAGGAAGGAATGCGAATGTCCCAGACCTACAGCGAGTGAAAACTTTGTAAGAGGATGATGAAATTGAGATGTTTAATATTTGTCCAATACTCCAAATTGTCTTTATTTGAGCAAAGGCAAATTCCAGGGCACCCCTTATTGTACTTGAGGTGAGGCTCTTTGATAATCCTTCTTAGTTTGTATTACAATGCCATCTTCAACAATCACTCAAATTACACATATGTATGAGCATTCTCTTACTTCCATACTGGCTATAATGACCTTCAATCGTCCATGCCTACTGGCTAATGTGTCATGTTGCTCGTCTTAGTCTACACCTCATTTTCAAAACTTATAGCGCAGGGGAAAGAAACAAATACCCATACACTTGTGTCATCTAACACTGTCCTCTAAATTCTTGTCTCAAAAGAAAACGCTTGACACCTCACTCATCCCATAATGCTTGTCTGTGTCCTAACATAGGAATGTGCTATAGGTAACTCACTTGAGCTTCATCATGGTCCAATAGAAGTGGAAAGTCAATATCTTTTCCCCCTAGTAAATTTCAAGAAATGTCTTTTTTAGCACCCATCTACGTGTAATGTGGCTGTGAATCACTCACTTCTATGCCTTTTGATATCTTTTCATGTACCTGGGATTTGTCTCCAAACCTACCTTCATTTATCCAAAAATCATGACTCGTGCTTTTTTTTTAAGTCACATGCTTTGACTTTTAGAGTCATGATGATGAACGTTACAAATAATCAAACTAGAGATGGATAAGGTAGCTTGCCAATCAAACCAATCGGGCAAAGAGCCGTAGTCAAGATTTCAAATAACATGATGTTTGCTAACCAACCCCTTGCAGCCTCTCCGATCTTCTTTCATATCCCTCTCCTTCACAATGTTCTCTTGCCTATGGCTTGCATTTAATATAATTCTAACTTTTAACTTCATAAAGTTTGAATATTACACGAAGTACAACAATAACAACTGCATAATATTTTATTATAGAATTTTGAAGATGCGAGATAGAGATTAGAGTCTCAAGAATGAAAAATACATTTCCACAACTATCCCTTTGAAATTAAAGAGAAATCAGCCTTGTCTCATCCTCTCTTAATTTGGAGATTCTTGATCATCCCTAGCGGATTGAGGTAAGTCCTGCATAATGTTTCAATAACCCTACCCCAATCTATCTTTTGGGAGCAACACTCCTAAATCTATCTTTTGGTAGCAAAGCTCCTGCATTTGGGAGAAGTCTTAATTACAAGAGCTAGAAAAGAGAGAAATTATTCATTCGCTATCTATGTAAATTTCAAAATCAAAAAGTAAAACTAATGGTCAACAAGGGTCAATGCGACGAACTCAGAGTAAATGGATTCAAACCGTAGTGGCCACCTACCTAAATTTAATATCCTACAAATTATCTTAGTAACTAAATGTAGTAAGACCATACAGTTGTCCTATGAGAATAGTTGAAGGTGTGTGTAAAACACTCACAAACATCAAAAAAAATAATAATAATAAAATAAATCTTATTTTCACTACTAATCGTCTATTTGTATTCTTAGTGTTCATACCTTCATATATTACATTTTCTTCTTGAATTCATTTGGCACTTTTACCTTTGTCCAGAAATGAGTAGCCATGCATCCAAGGTCTTCGAGTGCATTAAGATGTGACAGATTATTACCAAAAGAATAATTGAATACCTGCCTGAATCTTTGGAAAGTAAAGGCCAACTAAAGACGGATTTCAACAAAAATATGGTGAAATGATCATTGAGCAAAATGATGTAGGACCACAATAGGTACCTTTCAAACATAGAGAGAGGATATTAATAAAACTATCCGGGAAGCAGGGCAGCTCCTAGCAGCCTAATGATAAAAGCTCCATGTGCTAAGTATACCTTTTCCATCATTAATTCTACTAATTCTTCTCAGGTTCTAAATAATTTTCTTTACGTAAAGTAATCAGCAGCAGTCAGTTTAGTTAGACATCCCCGGCACTTTCTTAAAACAAGAAAAAACAACCTCGAGTACAGATTAAAGTGGCAAAAGAACTCAAATAAATCGTTTGTTCAAACTAATCTAGAGAAGAAACAGATCTGTAAGAAGAATTAGGTTACAAAAACAGAATTCGTAAAGAGGGAAAAAAACGAGATAGAGAGAGAGACTATACCGTCTGAGATGGCGGATGATGGTCGGCGTCGAGAGTGCGCTACGGCGAGTGAGAGAGTGGCAAATGGAACGGGCGCCCCCATACGCGCGAGAAGACTGGTGACGATGAGGTACAGAGGCAGAGAGAACAGATCGGCAATGGCGCGGCCGAAGGGAATGCGCGCGTTTTTTTCTGCAGTATTCAAATTATTGGGCCATTTTATATCCGATGTAGCTTGGGCCAGGGTTTACATTTTACCTTAATGTTCAACTTTCACATATGCTTTATTTTAATTTTTGCGGATTTGCTAAAAAATTAATAATAATAATTTTTGCGGATTAAAAAAATGTTTCAAAATACAA